CCTTTCAAATCAGGAGTTCATCTTTTACAGCTTTGATGATTAGTATAAAGTAATAAAGGTTACTCAAAGCATTATTCGATCCATCAGGCGTTTTAATTTCTGCCTATGTACTTTCGTAAGTTGATAATGTCGATAAAAAATTATTTTTAGCATTTGAAGTAAAGCATAAATATGCACCAGTCAGCAAAAATTGATGAGAGAAGGAGCACCAAAGTCCATGTAAAAGAGAACATTCGATGAAAGTTTAATTTTAATTCCTTCGCCATTCTGAGATGTCAGGCGTGCTCGAATAGTTTGATTTTACGCTTTATTCAAGGTATAGTCAATCAATAAATAGTTAGTTTGCTTTTACTCTCATTACAGTTTTTCTGAGCTGATTGTACACTAAATTTATAAAATCAACATTATTACCTCGCCATGTGCGTTCTAAAGATATTCATTTGTGTACACTTCAGTTTCCATTTAATTTGAATAAGAATTCCGGGAGATTATATTGAAACTTAAATTAAAACTTATGCAGCGGAAATTACTTAAGCGCCGATGTACAAGCTATATGTTCAGGCGAATAAAAGTTTCCATTTATATGAAAATATACCATGCCTGCAAATCTTTCGATGTTTACTCGCCGATAATTGCATATCCGAGACTATTCCACCGATGAAAACTTTAGGCTTAAATATTTCCTGAAAAAAATATTTATTTCCGGTATCTTTCCTAGAAACTTGGCTCTTGACCTAATTGGTCAGCATGTCCCAGCATGTTTTGTCTTAAACAGACCGCATTTGAAGAATTTTAGTATGTCTTCACAACATAGAATTTCAAATGATGTAGAGGTAACTTTCGCTAGACTGCGATATTGTTCTTGTCTATAGACACTCTGGGTGAAGTTTCGCGATAGATAAGTCACAATTTACCAGGCTATCGAAGCATAAAGCTAACCTGTGGTCGGTGAAGAAACAATATATACCGCGAATAGTTCCAAAATATTTTTGAGCGATATTTCACCAGTTAAGCAGGTCATTATATCCAAGGCTATGTTGCTCAACAAGGAACTAAGTTAGCCCTGATTAAGGTTTGCTACTGTGCATTCAGATTTTATTTCCAGTACTTTTACTATTCTTTTAGCTTTGCTGTAGCTCGGTAGCACCTTGAAAACGATGGCCCAAATACACGCTTTTAGAAAGAAAATAGCGTAAACTAGCAGCCATTAAACCGTTTGTCGAAAAAGTGACCCATATCGAACAAGTGGCCCATGGGTGCAGAGAAAGAAGACATCATCGTGTTATTGCTACAACTAAATGATCTTCAATTGAATACCACTTTGGTTAATAAAATATTCCCTTGGAGCCCATAAAACGGAATGACATGTGACGACATCTTCACGTCTAAGGAATTATGAACCTTAGATTTATAGAAGGGGGGTTAGTTAGTACATTTGGCTTCGCATCTTTCTCTTCCAAATTTAAATTGCTGTTGAGCTACTTTTTTGATGTTTTTATTGATACAATTTATATGAAAGTAGATTAAAAAATAAAAAAAAAGAGTCGATGAAGATACGATGCGCGACATATATACCTACTATTTCAATTCTAAATTTAAATCAAATTTGCAACCCTTTTGTTAATTAAAACCAGACCAAAAATAATATCATTGGTTCAATGAAGTTAATCTTATGGTAAAGTACGGGTGAAACTTGTACTTTACACCGATTGTGAGTGAATACTACTCTCAACTTTCGTACTTCTGTCAGATTTGACTTGGACTGCTCACTGCTACGTGTTGTCTCAATAGGAGTACTTTCCTTATCGCCCTCGACAGGGCAAAATGCCAGAGGAACATTTGGATTAGGCCAAAAAGATCGTAAATTGGGTCATTAGTCGTCTGTTTTCAATTTCCTCTCGTAAAAATTTTCCGATGGAAACTACAAATCTCTTTTGCCGGAGAGAACAACAAAAAGATTTAACTTAAATGGTAGGCTTTTACAAAAAGAAAAGAAAATGGGGTGGGGGGAGATAGGAGATAGGTTTTGGCCTTATGTGTACATGTGCACTGGGTAAGTGTTGTAATAGAAGCTCTATTCAGTGAAACCCACGCCTTTTATGCTATGTTATTAGAAGTAACTGTTATTGCAGAGGAAAATCTCACGAAATCAAAAATATTTCTCAGTTTTCTTGTTTTTGTTTATTTTTGTAAAAAGCAAGAATGGATTCCAAAAAAAAAATCAGCTAAAACCCTTCTATGTTCTTTGGCCAGTCTTTATTCCTTAATACGTCAATACAAGAGTATGAATGTCAGGTATAGCCTGCAGTGCTCATCTTTAGAATATGGACATGTTGAGAGTGGGCTGTGATAAAGATGATCACATATCGATAAAAATGTCTCATGTGTTCACGTTTTTTGAGGTGATGCTATAAATAGCTATGCGCCAAACAGCAAGGATGGCCGAACAAGGAACAAAATAATCAGTTTAATGCAGAAAACTACCTGATAATTCAGATCCTATTTTCTCTTTGCCTTTGTAGGATGTTTTAGGGCGACATTCAAAATAAATTTCAACCAAAATGACGTGCTTGGTATTTTTTTCTCCTATGATTTCCTGAGACTATTTATTTGACATAGTTTGATGCTACTCTGGTTTGCAGATTTAATGAATGTAACTGAAGAAGTTACAATTCATAGACCCAACCCACTAGACTCCTGTCTAGTGCCTTCATCAGGGGTGATCTAAACGCTGCAACAAGAGGTCCTTTTATATGATCACTAATTAGCGGCCTTTTTTTTTCTGACGAGGTGTAAATAGGCGTCAGGAAGCAAACCGCCATCGTCACATCACATCGTTAGATCACCCCTGATAAAGGCACTAGACAGGAGTGTCGAAACGTTGGGTCTATGAATTGTAACTTCTTCAGTTACATTCATTAAATCTGCAAACCAGAGTAGCATCAAACTATGTCTGATTGTCCACCTGGTTGCCGTGTGAACTTTGATATAGACTATTTATTTATTGCATTTATCAAATCAGTGTTAGTTTCTCAACATGTGTGATTCTTCGCAAAGATTTTCATTGAATTAAGCATTCAACATGAATTCAGTTTGTCACTTTCCGTGTCATTCAAATGAATTAATTGTTTATAGCATGAAATTTTGTGTCATGTTATCTTGCAGCGATTAAAGAACTGCCGGTTCAAAATTCTACTTTCAAGTATCAAATGAAAATCTCCAAAGAGAAGAGTTGTGCTTCTTAGGCTTTGACGCTATTTTCACCAAGCGTTCAATTCTTACTGGGCCATATTTGCATGTGAGAAATAACATAGGTTCATAAAAATAACATGTATACTGGCGGCAGAAACAAAACGTTTGGTTTCCGTCGCCAGTTAAGTGTTAATGTTAGATATTACAGAAAAAAAATAAAAAACATACTTAAGAGTATTTCGTATTCAAACAACCTACTTGTCGCGTTCGAGAATTTATTTGTATCGTCGACTTCGTCATTCAAGCAATGTAGCTACACTCGACATTGCGTAATGAAATGCAAGGAACCCAAAAACTCAGTCACAACATTTATCATTTAGGTTGTTAGGATTTGCCTACCTTTTAGTCGACGTCTTTTCTCCCGAGTTCTTCTCAAACAGGCTGGAGTTTAAAAAAATGAGAGCATCAAGCCTCTCTCTGTTCAATTGCATCGAAGAAAAATATCAAGTCATTAGAATTTCGGAGAAAAATATGTATATCCGGTTCTTTTTCTAGGAACTTGCCTCTTGACCCGATTGGTCGACATGTTCCGGCATGTTTTGCGGTAAACAGTACCGCATTTGACCAGCACAAGGAAAACCCAGGTATCAAGTTGTAATTGCAAATTGTTATGGAAACATAGAAAAATCTTTCAAATAGGTAAAGCAATTCATCTATAACTACCACTTTAATAACTTTTGCCAGAAGGCATCAATATCATTATTGTCTACTGATGTGTTATGCAAATTTTGTTGTTAGATAAAATAAGATTTACGCGCTTATCGAAGCATGACGTAAACCTGTGGCTGGTGAAGAAACTAAATTTAACGCAAAATAGCTAACAAGTTAATTTAGCGATATTTCATTACGTGAGCAGGCCATTAAACAAAGGCATGACCTGGCTAACTCAGATTTGGTTGTGAATTTCTCATTCGGATTTATCCTTTTTTTTCCATATGTTTTGTTTTGCTCAATTTTGCCTGATAGTTTCCCAGAGCACCGCAAACTGAATAGCCTATGTATGCAAAAAATGTTTCGTACAACAGCCGACGCTTATCGTTTTTCGAATAACTGGTCCCAGGGTGAAAGAAAGAAGAAATCATCGTGGCATTACTCCATTTGATGATCCATTAAAAAAGTTAGATTCCATGTTGCCGTGCGTCTGATGAATTAAAGTATAAGTTTAAAATGTGTTAAGAATCAGAAGTGACACACGAAGTGCAGTCATGCGTGTCACTAATGTTATTACCGCATTTTGACCTTCTCTATGATCTATTATTAACCAGATGTACGGCAATATGGAATCTATTGGTTTTAAAATCAATGAAGTAGAATAAAATTGTTAATGGTGACAGCATCCATGCGCTGGTCTCCCAATAGCTCATATTAAAATAAGAACCAACTAGAATGGGTTTGTTATCCAGCTGTTCGTAAAAATCGAATATTGCTTTCGTCGCATTCCTTTTCGGTACAGACGAGACAAACTATGCCAACTGAGACAATGATATCAGTCATTTCCCGGGTAATATGAGCCTGAAAATGGTGAGGATATGGGGGACAAGGGGGCGGGAAAGGAGGTGGAGAGCAGGGTGAGGGTGTAAGGCAAAGACGCTTTTAAAAAGCTCATAATAACAAATCTATCAAGATCTCTTAACAAGGTCCTTGCGTGTTGCGTTTAAGTATCGTTCAGTTTGTTTCGGTAGCTTCGCATCTTTTACTTTCCGATTAAATTCACTGGAGAGTTATTGTTTCGATATTTTATTTGAGTTGTATCTTGAAAGCGTTTGTGTAAAAATATCAAAATTAACCGACAAACAAAGCTAAGTTCTGAACCAACATTTTCATTGAATCATTTTCCAAAGTAAGTTGTAGTTTGATTACTAACTACATTTGTAATTAAAAGCATCTAAAACCTTCTCCTAAAGCTTCATGCGTTTTAAAATTCTTTATCTAATAGAGCAACCCGTTTGACTGATTTCTCTGGATGAAAAATTGGACTCTTGCACGTGGGTCGCCAGGTTATCAATTTTCCGTGGAAAAAAGATTGTAAAAAATTGTCCCTCTTTGTAAAATTATATAAACTCTATACTCTTTTTCTTGATTTTCAATGCATTAATTAATCTATCTTGTGTTCTGTAGGTGATCGAATCGCGTTACATAGTTAAATTGGATATATTCCATATTAATGCGTTTTCCTCACAGCATTGCGTTTCCTTTTTCAACAAGAATTGGCGAAGTCAGCTTTAGATGGTTCAGAATCCCATTCAGCAGAGGCAAGGATACTCTCCTGATCATTTGACGTGTTTTAAAGGGAGATTATATATGTTGAAGCCATTTAAAAGTGAGTAAGTTACCTACTAATTTATATCTACAAGAATGATTTGCAGGTAGCTCAGGTAAATTCTTATTTCGAAGAAAAATGGTTTATTCAAAATCAGAAAGCCTATCTTGAATAATCCTCAAAATTATGGTTGATATTTTCAACAGTGAGTAATTAAAATTAAGCTGGCTTCAGCTTTTAGGCCAGGAAGATTCATTGACCACGCATTTTCTTTTTTCGTAGAATTTTAGCAACTCTTGCCACATGGGATGAAGCACCAGTAGTTCCTTGTTACCTAAGGAAAAAAAATTGGTCAGTAAAATGATAAAGATAAAATAAAAATGGGAAAAGTGGACTCTGCTTCGGAGTCAGATTTTTCTAAATCAACGAGCTTCTTGGGCTGCTAACAACTGCTTGAATTTGCGCTTTCGGCAAATGGGAGTTTGAGTTAATTTCAGTGCATTTTGAAGAATAAATCCATTAAAAATTCTTTAAAACAGCGGGAAACAGATGTTAATTGTTAGAAAGAGCCGATATCAGTTCCCCATACCGTATAAACTCACTCAATGATTTTACTGGCCACAAAATTCTCGTTCATTTTACGTGTATCTGCCTAAACTTTGCAAGGTATTAGTTAACTATAAATAAAAACATAACATATTTCTCTCATACCAATGATGCAGAGCCCCTTCCGCGCTCTTGTCAGCCCGACGTTCATTAGATGTTCGTCCGTCAAGAATCCCAAATGTTCACGCAACCAATACATGGAGGGTTCTGGTTCGAGATCATCCTTATTCAGCGAGCGCACCAGAGATAAGATTACGTAATCCCATTCACTTCCTGCATGACATGAAATGTGGGAAACATTAAGAGTGAATGTGCATTTCTCAAAGAGGCTTGAGCATTTTGATAATATCGCTGCGTAACAATGAGTAACCACAATCTAATGATTGAAATTGGTCGATATGATCAAAATCCACAAATTTACTTTGAATTGATAATGTCGAACTTTTCACTTCACTGAATTAACTTGAAGATCAATTGCATAGGCTCTTCTTTTTTTCTCTGCAATTTTACTAACATTTTGGAGCCGATTGGGCTTTAAATATAACAATATTCAACTTTCATTTGAACGAAATCGCACAGAGGTTCTCAACGTTATAATTACCGTTAAGCTTAGAAATAAAAGGAAAATAAAAAGATTTAATACTAAACAGAAAAAAATTTAAGAAATTAGGTTTACCCTGGCTTTTTATGATGGTTGTGACCGGGATTTCTTTGGATTTTATATTTCCTTCCAGAGCTTTGCTTATTCTTTCGCGTTGTTCTCTATAAGGCGATAAGATAACGACATCTGACGGGGAAACACCATTTTTGAAAACCAAGCTTCTAGCAACATGGACCTGACGTTAAAAAAAGTATTAGTTTACCGAATATACATAATTTAAATTTGTTTAATTGCTAATTCACATAAAACAGTTGTTTTTGCAGAGGCTTTTGACAGTTATTGATACAATTTAATGATTTCAGGGGGCCATTGATATCTCATTTATCCAAGGATTTTCTTATGGTGGTTTCCGCTCGCTTCTTCGTCTTCATTTAGAGAAGCGAAGAACCAGAAGCGCTTTCTTTTTGCTTAGGTTAAAACTCATTTTGAATTTCTTCCTTTTCTAATGAGCGACTTACATATCAACTATTTTAATTCTACAGTTGATCAAATTTTGCAACCTGCTATTTGGAATCTCCTATTTTGTTCGAAACAGACCAAAAATGATGTCAATGGTTCAATGCCTTCAATCTAATTAGAAACAATACATGGCTTAAAACATTGGTGTAACTTCAACTTTAAGCCGATGGTGACTGAATACTACTTACCACTTTTCGTACTTCTTTCTGATTTGACTTTGACTGCTCACCACTATGTGTTGTCTTAATGGCTGTACTTTCCTCGTCACCCTCGACATGACAAAATGCCAGAGGAACATTTGGATTAGGCCAAAACGATTGTAAGTTTGGGCCATTGGTCGGTACAGACTCGTCTGTTTTCAATTTGCTTTTGTAAAAATATTCCGATGGAAAACTGCAAATCTCCCTATGCTGAAAGAACAACAAAAAGATTGAACTTAAGTAGTAGGCTTTCACAAAAAGAATAGTTAAAAAATAAGACGGGGAGATAGCTTTCGGCGCCTTATGTTTACGTTTGCACAGGGTAAGTGTTGTAATGAGCAGCTCCATTCAGTGATACCTAAGGCCTTTTATGTATGTTATCAGAAATAACTGTTATTTCAGAAGAATATCTCACGAAGTCAAAAATATTTCTCAGCTTTTTCGTTTTTTTTCTTTTAGAATGCAAGAATGGATACTAGAAAAAAAATCAGCTAAAATCCTTCTGTGTTCTTCGACTAGTCTTCATTCCTAAAGTCAGTGCAAGAGTGTAAAAGTCTGACACAGCTAGCAGTGCTCGTCTTTAGACTATGGTAACGCTGCAAGTGGGCAGTGATAAAGATAGGAAGGTTTATTAAGGTAAGATTGCTAAATATATGGGCCAATAATTGATGCTTTAAATTTAAAAAAAAAAACCATCGTAAAAAAATAAGAGGAATAAAAGGTTTGATTACCATTCTGTATTGAATTTCCAGCATTTGGGCTCGGTCAGAAAGCCTCTCGAACATCGATATGTTCAAACCGAGCGTCAATGCCTGTTGGTCTATAACAACAGGCTGTAACTGTTTATGATCACCGATCAACACCACTTGCTTTGCTTTCGAGAAAGTGATTGGTACAAGAGATTCAAGTTCCATGCACATGCCGCATTCATCAATGATACATTGTTGAACGTTATCACAGGCAGTTGCAATCCTACGGCTACCAGCAACCGAGCACGTGCACAGGATAACCTGGGCTCCTGATGATTGAAGTGCCCAAACCTCGGCTATGCCGATTAGCTGAACATGAGTGAATCAGCAAACAAGCCAAAAAATGAGCAAATGGTGAAATAATGTTGTAATTATAGATATAAGATTGAAGAAATGAAAGAAAGAAATATAACGTCTCTAACATAAAAACTGACTGACTGACTGACTGACTGAATAAATAAATGAACGTAATGTGAAGGGATGAATTAACTAACGAGTGGATGAATGGACAATAGACGAATGGACGAATGGAGGCCTGGGTAGCTGCGTGGTTGAAAAATCAATGCGAAGGTCATCTTGTGAACTTAACTTGATCGGTGTTTAAAATATCATACCAGTGTATGTAGTTGAATTACACGACTTTCGTTGATTCAACATCTCTCTTGAAGACACTGAGATTACCCAAGGAGCGTTGAATCTTAGGTGCTCACCTGGCAATATGCAGTTACTTCTTCCTTGCTGGTTCTCTTATTTTTCTTCCTATCATCCTCAAACTTATTTTCATACATCTTAAGTACATTAGCATATGGACATGGATATTTTCGAATTATGTGATGCAGCGAAACGTTCTTCAGTTTCTCAGGTATTCCGATCCCATCGTCGCTGGACTGTTTAAGAGCCTGGCGTTTGTTAGGGATTGGAAACTCTGCCTGTTCTTTCCGATCACTGTACACGCGGATGATCTTGAGGCCAGGAACTTTAATCATGTACTCTTTATTGAACGCAAACGAGAAAAAAGTTAGTTCATCCTTAAAATTGCTGATTTGTTATTTTCCATTTGAGTTTAATGGATGGGAACATTTAACCACCGTTGCGTAATACACCTGTTCTTGTGTTCTACTTCCTCATATTTGTCAGAACCATACCACGAAACGCGTGTTAAATATCATTAAAGACGTATTCAGTAGTACTTTTTCACTCGTATTTTGCTATGAATTAAATGCGAAGGGCTGGAAATATTTATGATTTATCGTCTTAATCATAATGACGTAAAATGATTGTAACAAATCTAAATGGCGAAGTTTTTTCTTTTCAAGAAACTTACCGGCTACAACGTCTACTGCCTTGTTGGAAGGACCGCAGTAAATAACTTGCGGTGGTGCCTTCGGTTCCTCTTGATTTCCCAGATCAAAATTATGGAGGTTTTGCTTGTTTCGTTTCGCGAAACCGAAGGCGATGTGGACACCTGTCACTGTCTTGCCCGTACCTCAAAATGGACATAGATGCATTATTTGATCTTTTTAATGACTAACTATAAAGCTCTACCACAAACAAATGTTAGTTGTGATAAAGGTTGTCAAACAGACAGACAGGTAGGCACAGTAATAGCTAGATTTGCCCAATACCCTTAAGAGAGGAAAATATTTTGAGATAAAACCATTCTTGTTCATGTAAAATGAAGTTTTTTCGTCGCCATAATTTACATCCAATATATCCTCAGTGGCTGAGGATTAAGGGCGGGGTGCCTTCACCTAGTATTATGAATAGGTAAGGTAAAGTAAGCACACGCGTCAAGACCCAAGTATTTTATCTTCTTTTAATATGAAATGTTAAAGCAATACCTGGAGGACCCTGGATGAGGGTAAATGGCTTCTCAAGAGCACCTCTCACAGCTGCTTGCTGATATGAATTCAGCGGCTTGAATCCGCACTTGGGATAGTCTCGCACAATTGACATATCAAATGGAGGCTGTGGCTCAAACCCCCCTAATAACACAATGAGTTTGAAAAACAGAGACCCTTGACAAATTTTTCCTTAATGTACGTTACAATTTTTTGATTTACGTAAACGGCGGTAAGGTTTATCCACAACTTAGTTTGTTACTTTACAAGTTCCCATGATGTTTGCCTTTTCTATATAAAGAAGAAGATCAATGATTAAAGTTGGGAACTTTTTTGGTAAGTTTGCGAGCGATCTCTTCGCACATACGCCCTGGGGTCATAGATTTGCATTTGTACTAGCCCTGAGTTCGTGCTTTTTCCGCGTGCCCCCTTCCACTTTCCCTCGGTTTTGTGTCCTTGTATCCGATACTCCACTTTAAGAAGAGTGTGACAGAGGTTGTTATGGCTACTCTTCCATCCGCATTTTTCACACATTTGTTCAACCTTCCTACTCTATTTCATGTTTGATTTTTGAAATAGTTAACGCCGTAAGTACGCAAAACTTAGTCTAAATTCAGTGACCACTGACCTTGATCTGGCTCTATTCCCAAGCAAATGGCGTGAGACAGTTTGGATGCAAATCTTAGTTCTTTGAGAGCTGCAAACATTCGTCTGAAGAAAAAAAGATAGATGTAGTTTTGTTGCTGCAGTCTGGCTAGTTTGAGCGAGTCCGACTCAATGCCCTTTTTTTGTTTAAAATTCTTGTTTTGAGTACTTTTAATGTGCGATTTCATTCAAATTCGTTAATTCAAATGCTCCTCCATTTTAAAATTGCAAAGGGAATATTCCGTGTAAAAAATCTGCAGAAATATGCAATGAAGCAAACTAACAAGCCACCGTTAAAAATAAACGAAAACAAAAACAGAAACATCGAATATATATCATCACCAGGGTAGAATTATTCACGTTTCCTTCGTGAGAACAGTACATTGAAATGCAGGCTGCATGAACGAACGGTGTTATTGTGTACCGAAAATTATCAAAGCATAATTTAAATTGTCGGGAAATGAAGCATATCCGTGTATTTCGTAATAAGAACAGAAGAAATGCGGAACATGATACCTTCCTCTCAGACCAACCAAACCCAAGGATTGTTGTAGGGCATATGAAAGCTGCTATGTTTTAAGGAGGCTCCGACGGGTTTTTTGCTCAACGTTGGCGCGCGCGCGCCAGCGTATCGTTTTTCTAGAAAATTCCTTTTTTAGCTTTTCTAGGCCACTAAAAGCCATTAAAAGGACAATGAGCAAGGTTTGAACTATCGTTTGCTGTAGTAAACATTATCAAAACGGTTTTCGTTTCTAAGGTAAGGCACCACAAAGGGAGGCGCTCGCCAGTGATAACTTGCCTTTTTTCTCAGTTTTATTTTCTTCAATTTGCTTCGGTGAAATCTCTCAAAAAGTTTTGCAATTTGTGAAATTTGTCCTGCCGATCACTTAAAAGGCAAAAAAAATAGGGATTGTAAAGGCAGTTTCCTCGCTATTTGCAGTTTTTTGTTTCCTTCCTCTATCTCAAATTTGGTCTTATGAGTTCTTTTTTATCAACAGGCACTAGGAAGGGCACAAATATGTTTAACGGTCCAGCAAATCTTAGGAATTACGATAAATTTCACTCGAAAGATGTGTACTTTCTTTGTCGCAAAACATTGCGTAATGGAATAGAATTTCGCCAAGATCAATATCTGAGCATGCGTAAACTTTCAAATATGTCGCAATCATTCGCCAGTTGGCAATCTTTCCCACGGTGTTTTCTTTTCGGTCGACCTCTTTTTCAGGCGTATAGCCTATGAATATTAAGGGCAGTTGCTGGAAGCCCATGATTCCATCACATAAAAACTTTACTGTGTTAAAATGTTTTTAATACACCTTTTTCGATAACAATCGTGCGATCGTATCGAGCCGCCCTGTTTGCTTTTTGCATTTTGACACTTGTAAAGCTCACACAACGTTCGTGCCCAGATCCCGCGCGTTCAGGAAACCCTATGTTTCCTCTTAAGTCACTTTTTTGCTGTATCTGATATAAATTACCTCTTTGGAAGTGATCTGTGAATGATGGTTAGTGTACTCAGTTGACCACCACTCAATAGTTCTTCAGGAAACTTCGATGCTGACTGATGAAAGTTCATCTCAATTAACAAAGTGTTTTCTTTGAACAATTCAGAACGTCTTATGACGCAGTGTCCAACCCAGACATTCGATGACACTTCATGGGTTTCTTCGAGTGAATTGCCTTCCAAGGATGAAGTTCCAGCTGCCAACGGGTCGCGAGGTTGTTCTTCAAGATTTGTATCCATCTGTTTTGAAAGTAATAACACATTTCAAATTTTAGGCAATTATTATGAAATATCCGTAATATAAGCTGCTATTCAGAATTTGTTTTCTGAGGCATATGCAAGACTGTGAAGGACTATATACTATCAGCTGACACCCACCTCACCTGGCACGATAGAGTAATGGACGAAACCTTCCTCGGGGCTAAAGTAGATGCAATCATTCATGTGATCGGAATTCACAATTTCACCACAAATTGAGATGCACGCACTCAACGCTTGGTCTTAAGATTTACCGTCCGCATAAAAATTACAGCATGTTATAGACACATGTAAAGAACTTGGATCTTTTGATGTAATGTTTTGAAATATTAGTGTTAAATTTGGTGATGCAAGCAAAGGACCAATAAGATAAAGAGAACTCCTCTGATATAGAGTTAGTAATAGTTATGCATTGATATTCACCCATGTACTGAAAAATTAACCTCAAGAGCTTATTTAAAATTACGTTTTTGAAAGGCTATCTGTGATACCTGTGATATGTTCCTCTTACTGGTGGAAGAAGGACAGTTTTTATTGAAGTCTTCTCGGACATGGATGCAAACGAAATCCCCGGGAAAAAATTCGATTTGACGATTCTTGCAATATTCGTGGTCCAGGCTGAAAGGAACCAACTGGATTTTCACTGTTTCTAGCCCGCCACTTCACGTGTAAATCGTACATAGTAAACTCGTCACTTTCATCTACAGCCTCTGTAGCGCTTTCCATGGCAAGAACAGGTTCCCAAGCAGTGATGTAGCTTTCTAAACACGAGTAGCTTGCTCGAGATGCTCGGTATTTTACCGTCGTAGCGAAGCACTCTCTTGGATATTTGCGGTGTTCAATGCAAATGTGGACCTTGGAATTAATCTTGAAAAGCTGAATTTGTGGATGTAACATTCCTTGTGTCATGTGGGCACTTAACTGAACGTTTACCATGTCAAAGGTCGCCAGAGACAGTCGCCTTTCATGAAAGTGCTCCGTGTTTGAATCCCTATTTTCATTGTTACGTGGAGGAAACCGTTTTCTGAGAGCCCTGTGGTGATCTTCAGTCTTTGTAATCAACATCTTAGCTTCTGCATAGTCGTTGTCTTGAACAGCTTCCAAGAGCTTCATCCAGTTTTCCATCTTCAAGCTTAGGACATCCTTCGTGGCAGCCAATCCTTCATTTAATAGGGAAACAACTTCATTTCTTTCGATTTCTAGATTTTCGATGTAGTCCTCCAAGGACTCCCTCTCTTTTGGAGCAATGTATAGCCTTAATTTCCAGATAAAGACTACTTCTGATATATATGGCATGAAATCATACAGGTTGAGATCGCTGAATTTAATTTCCCTCTCTTTTTTGGACAAACGGTCGTGTTCTTGGCTCGTTATTTCCAACCTAATGCTCTTATCTTCGATCATTGCGATGACTGCTTTTGTTTCGCGGCTTGCTTCTTTAAGCTTGGCAGCCAAATTGACTTTATTACTTGCTCTGTCGAACTTCTTGCTATTACGCTGAGCAAACGTGGAACGACGACACACCTTAGCCACGTAATCCTTTCGGTATCTTTCTGCACCGTGGTCGTTGGAGATTAAACCCAAGACGAGTCTGTGTACTTGAATGTCAATGTACCGTCGAATGGGTGAAGTGAAATGTGTATAGCCGTGCTCCCCCAGAGAGAAATGCAAACTGTTTTCTCGTGGATGACCTCTCTCACAGACATAACAGGACTTTTGCTGAATGCGTTGAAACTGAAGATTTGCAACAGCTAGCTGAGGATACTTTCTTTCTGTAAAAATCAGCCGTTGTAGCTTTGCTTTGTCATCAGATTCTACAGCCCTACAGATTTCTGACCAAACGGAATCTTGCACTTTGAATTCCGTGATCTCTCTCATTTGGTTATCCTCGGTCATCTTCTCGAGATGTTGCTTGCCGCGGAGAAACAGAGAACACTTGATAAAATGTCCGTATCGACTCAACCAATCTTTCAATTTGTAATCTTTTGGTGGCAGTTGGGTGCGCAGCGGTGCTATCTCCGGAATACTAGTGAGAAGAAAGTGACCTATTTTCTCGTTGGCCAAAATCATCATTTCCTCCACTAACTCATGTGCTTCATAACATTCTGGCTCATCACTGTCTGACCAATGGTCAAAGCTAGCTTCTCGGAGTCTTAATTTTCTTCTTTTTTGCGCTAGGACATTCAGGGCCTGAATATCACTTTCAACACTTTTGGGGAATTGCTTGCATGAGCTTCGTTGAGCATCAATAACTTTTTGGGCGTCAGAGTAGGTAAGCTGACGGGAGGACGTTACGATTGTGCGTTTGATCTGTGGCTCTCCCAAACATTTTCCATCTTCTGACATGTCAAGAAACACTGATAAACATAAACGATCTTCACCAGGAAGAAGGCTGCAATGTTTTTCACTGAGATCAGGTGGTAACATTGGAACATTTTGATACTCATTCCCAGGGTAATAGGATATGCAGCGAAACAATGCTTCTTTATCCAAATAGCTACCAGCCTCTACAAAGTAACTCACGTCTGCGATGTGAATTCCTACCCGGTACACAGAGCTCGAAAGCAGTTCTAGGGAAAGTGCATCATCGAGATCCTTAGAGTTTTCAGGATCTATTGTAAATGCTCCTTTAACTACTTCGCGGTTGTTTCTTTCGTGAGCTGGCATTGACCACGACCAGGGGAACTTCGTTCGCACTTCCCTTTCACAATCATCGCTGAATGACTTTCTAATACCATGCTCTGCTAGAAGAATCTCCATACTGGCCTTCCAAGTATATCTCTTCGGCAATTTTCGAATGATGATACCTAAGGGGTAAATGCAATCTGACCTCCACTGTAGAAACTGCACGAGGAACAGGTATTTTCCACTAAGGAATTCTTCATAGTCCATCTCACAGACTTTTACTTTCTTCCCGTTTCCCTCGCGCAATTCCTTGTAGAGGGGTACACCCTCAAGGTTATCTGCAGATAAAATCACGATTTTTGACATGGACTTATTGATTGGAAGCATCAAATTCGGATTGTGGAAATTGACCTTGCAGACAAACTGTCGTTCGTGAGGGCTGATAATGTGATGAAGCACACCTATAAAGAAGATGGACAATAATAGGCCAAAGTAAGACATCTTATTTGCTGAATAATAAATCATAACAGCAGACACTTATGATAACTAGGTCTTGTATCAGCAATATAGTCCTATACCTTGTGGAAAACGATAGGTGTAGTTTCTTGCCCTGTAGTGAAGCTTGCGGTGCACCAGTTTAAAAAAAACCAAACTACAGCAGAAAGTAAGTTAAAC